ACAACACCAAGCACACGCAAATTCAATCTTGCACCCAATGGCTGCTGGGAGAAGGAGCACTGAGAAAACTGGAAGGGATGTGTAGGAAGTAGTTTCAGATTCTAAGAGACGAAAGTCAATTTTACTACAATATAGGTAAACATTTCAGGTAATACATACTGTATCATGTTAGATTTTTTTCTTTCCAAAATAAATACTAAAAAGAACTTTCAAATAAATATTAGCCTCCTGTCTTAATTATTTTCTTAGAATAAGTTCCAAGAAGGAAAAAACTGCAAAATCCAAGAATATGCCACTTCAAAATTACTATGTACGATGGCAGGTTTCCTTTTCAACTTTTTCTGTATTTTATTCTTCCCCTCAGAAAATTTAAGTAGCCCTAATTCTCCACACCATACATAACACTGAATATAACCAACGTTTTTAAGTCCTATGTAATCTGATTAGTAAAAAGCAACTTATTTTTCATTTTGTACTTATTTGCCACTTAATAAATGATCACATTTTCATATATTTACTGGCCATCTTTATTTCTTCTTCTTTACCACCTCGCCAGTCAATGTCCTTTGCTCATATTCCAATCAGGGTTTTATTTTATGACTGTAAAATTTCTACTAGAGACTTTAAGCTTTTTTTAAAAAAACATATATAAAACATATTTTAAAAAACATATATAAAAAACTCATGTTTTGCTATTTTTCCTGGATAGCTTTGTGTACGGCATGGTTTCTCAACCTTGACACTACTCACATTTGGGGCCAGACAACTGCTTATTGGGGGGGCTGTCCCCTGCATTTTTGCAGCTGCCCTGGCTTCTGTGCAGTAGAGGTCAAAGCCTCCCTCAAGTTGGCGACACCAGAAATGTTGCCAGACACTGCCTAGGGACAAAAATCACCCATGAGTAAGACCAGCTGGTGTGCAGTACAGTCCTTAACTATTTTATATGGAAACTGTGTGCTCATCACGGGAGCCCTGCATCTCCAGGAGCCCTGAATGAGCAACAGAGATCCTAAAGGAGCCACTGAAGAGTCACCATGAAGAGGCAGTCTCATTAGCTGTGGTGTCTTCTGTATACGACAGCAACTTAGCACACACAGAAAGGCCTAAGTCCTCAAGAAGAATTATTTTCCCTTGCCTCCCTCTTTACCCAGAGTCTTTTTGGATCCGTTGGACCTTTGGTTTCCTGTGTGAGCCTAAGGAGTTTTCTAAAATTCTACAATCCTGTTTCTTTGGAATTAACCTGCAGGAGCGACCATGGACTGCCTCTTGAGGCTGGTCGGAAACTAAAGGCAGTAAGAAAAGCATCAGTAGGTCTTCCTGTACTAGTAGACTTTTTAAAATTAAGAACACTATTACTTTGATAAAAAATAAATCAATAAGTAAATAAAAAATATAAATCAGGGGTGCCTGGGTGGCTTCATTGGTTAAGTGTCTGCCTTCGGCTTAAGGCATGATCCCAGGGTCCTGGGCTCCAGCCCCACATTGGGCTCCAGCCCCACATTGGGCCCCCCGCTGGGCGAAGAGTCTGCTTAAGATTCTTGCTCTCTCAAAAAAAAAAAAAAAAAAAAAAAAAAGATTCTTGCTCTCTCTCTCCCTCTGCCCCTCCTGCTCATATCCTCTCTAAAACAAGTAAGTTTTTTTGTTTTTGTTTTTTTAAAGGACTCTAGTTTTCTTATGGGAAAATACAGAAGAATATTTTCTCCATGTGACTCACCAGTTATGCCTGGCTACACCAGGCCAAATCAGAGTGTTGTATGTGCAAAATCCCAAAGGTACCCCTAGCAAGTGTCCTTTCTCAATTTAGATTCCTCAAATATTAAGAACAAAGAATAGCAAATGCCTCAAAATTCCTTTTTGAGGAAAACGGTTATGTTAGGAACACCATTAGTACAATATTCTTTCAAGTATGTCAAAATCAGAATTTATTATGATGTCGCTTTCCTGGTTTTGCTTTTTTAAGCTTTTATTTAAATTCCAGTTAGTTAGCATACAGTGTAATATTAGTTTCAGGTGTACTAGAGTGATTCAACACTTCCCTACAACAGCCGGTGCTCATCATAACAGTGTTCTTTAACACAGTAAAAATTCTAAATGACCAGGGTGCCTGGGTGGCTCAGTTGGTTAAACATCTGCCTTCAGCTCAGGTCATGATCCCAGGATTCTGGGATCAAGCCCCACATCAGGCTCCCTGCTCAGTGGGGGGCCTGCTTCTCCCTCTGCCTGCCCCTCTCCCTGCTTGTTCTCTTTCTCTCAAATAAACAAAATCTTAAAAAAAATTCTAAACTACGTAAATGTCCAAGAATGGGGCAAAAGTTATGAGACACATACACACACACATACACACACACACAGAGTCCATCAATTCAAGGGAATATGATATAGCCATATAAAAATGTAGGGAACAGGGGCACCTGGGTGGCTCAGTGGTTAAAGCCTCTACCTTCGGCTCAGGTCATGATTTCAGGGTCCTGGGATCGAGCCCCACATCGAGCTCTCTGCTCAGCAAGGAGCCTGCTCTTCCCCCTCTTTCTCTGCCTGCCTCTCTGCCTGTTTGTGATCTCTGTCTCTATCAAATAAATGAATAAAATATTTAAAAAAAAATGTAGGGAATAGGGGCGCCTGGGTGGCTCAGTGGGTTATAGCCTCTGCTTTCAGCTCAGGTCATGATCCCAGGGTTCTGGGATCGAGCCCCGCATCGGGCTCTCTGCTCAGCAGGGAGCCTGCTCCTCCTCTCTCTGCCTGTCTCTGCCTACTTGTGATCTCTGTCTGTCAAATAAAGAAACAAAAAATCTTTAAAAAAAATGTAGGGAATAAAAAAAAGTAGGAACTATAATATTAATTAGAAAAGCATAATTTGAAAATTTTAACTATATAACTATTACAACTATATGGTTACAAATGCATATAAGGAAAAGAACATGGGAAAATGAAAACAGTTTTTATAAGGAAAATATAATAAAGTGGGAGGTTTTTATTCACTGCTAGTGACCTTTCTCCTCTATTTTACTTGGGAAATTATAAAAGGTGATAAAACAAAATAACAAAAATTAATCTACACTAAAATAAAAAGCAGTGATCCTCTGGCACAGAAGAGATTCTGAAATGCCTGCTATTCTGTTTAATCATTTTCAAGAACGCATCTAATCGCTGAGAAGCGAGACAATCGTTTAAAATCTAGAAAGGAAGCCCAACTCACCTTGAACTTGGTCATTTTGCACTCGTCCTTCTAAGGAAGGGCTGAGTCCTGAGTCCGGAGAAGGCACAAAAGGGGAAGGAGAAAAAAAAAAAAGCCATCAGAGTTTGGCCAAGACTGTCCTTAACCCATTCAATTAACATATTATCACTACCCATATTTTATGCTTCACATCAAAGAGCCATGGTGCCCTTTCCTCAGGGGGCTTGATGAGCAGAGGGTGGGCTGGATTCCCGAGACTGACCCCTTCAGCTGAGAGCCCTGCACAATGAACAACCCTGCCCAACCACACACAAGTTCTCCTTGTCGCTTTTAGGGTATGAATCTGATTCTAGGGAGTGTGGATGTGGAGAATTAAGTACCCAGGTTGAGAAAGTTATCACCAGGGCCAAATGTTTTAGGTCCACGGTACTGCTACTTACTAGCTGTGAAATCTTCAACAAACTATTAATGTTTCCGTGCCTCAATTCTTTCATCTGTAAAAATGGAGGGGTTAACAGTGCCTATAGGATTGTTTTAAGAATTAAATCAGCAGGTGCAGGGCACACAGAACACTCTTAGGGTATCTTATTTCTTAGGAGCTGTAGAAAAGCAGGTAATATTCACTAACATAAAACCTGTCCTCATAAATGGTTTCTATCAACGGAGCCTTTGGAGGCTGTTGCTCTGTCATGCAAAAATCGCCTTTAACCCCTGAAATATATTATTCTTTCTTGGTCAGCATACTTAACGGGATGCCTTTGCAATTGTATTTAAGAATACATGGATGACTTTGTTTTCCTGCATAAAATGAATAGAACCTAAAATTTACCTTTTTAACCATTATTAAGTTCGTTATTATTATTATTATTCACTATTATGTTCATTAAGTGCATTCCTGTTGCTGTGCAGTCATCACCACCACCCATCTCCAGAACTTTTTCGCCATCCTCAACTAGAACTCTGTACCCATAAAACAACAGCTCCCCATCAGTTCGCCCCTCAGCCCCTAGTAACCACTACTCTACTCTCTCTCTGTGAATTTTACTATACGGACAACCGTGGGCTTTTCTGTTGTTGTTAACAGAGGACTGTTTTTTGAAAGATATGAGACCTTGTCAAATTTACTGTTAAAAGCAGGACCTTGAAAAAGACTCTCATGAAGCTGAAGAAAAAATAATAAAAACCTGTGACTCAGGAGTGCCTGGGTGGCTCAGTAGGTTAAATCCTCTGCCTTCGGCTCAGGTCATGATCCCAGGGTCCTGGGATTGAGCCCTGTACCAGACTCTCTGCTCAGTGGGGAGCCTGTTTCCTCCTCTCTCTCTGCCTGCCTCTCTGCCTACTTGTGATCTCTGTCAAATGAATAAAAATAAAATCTTTAAAAAAAAACAAAAACAAAAACAAAAACCTGTGACTCTGCAAGATTTATCTACCCATAAGTGAGGTAATCATTGTCATTATGTCATTCAAACTAACAAGGTATAATAATCCTAGTAAATGATTAAAAACAACAAAAACAGCAGTGGGTGGCTTTAGCTGAGCACCGAGTACGTGTCAGGGACCTTACGAAGCACCTGGCACACTGTTCGGTGAAGGTACTGCCCACGTACCTATGACGAAGTTACTGTCGCACAAGTCGTGTGACTTCGGTCCAATTGCCTATACCTCTGTGCCCATCCTCAGCTACAACAAAAAGATCAAAACAGAACTTCAGCCAGAGGGTTACTTTGGCAGAATAAATGAGCTAATCCGTGAGATGCCCCTGGCACGGTACCTGGCATTTTGGGACCTTCTCACTTGATGACAAGAACTGTGGATTCCTTTTAACAGATGAAGAAGCTGAAGTTTGATGAGGTCAAGACACACGGGTGGAAGTGGAATCCAGCTCTCATACCAGAACCGATATTCTAGATGCTTCTCTGCTGCTTCTGAGGACAAAAATAGGCTGATGGGACTCCAAGGTCTCACAGGAAGAGAAACGAGAGCTGAGAGCTAGGGATGACAGACATGGAAACGGGGAGACGACTCTGAAGCCAAAGGATCTGCTTGAGGGAGAAGAGAACAGCGCTGTGAAGGGCGTAGGCTCTGGAATCAGACCACTGGTGTGTGAATACTGCATCCCCAACTTGCTAATACTCTGTGTCTCAAAAAGCACAAGCTATAACTGGAGATAATAATGGCAACAATGATATTACCAACCTCAGGGGAAGGGTAGTAGGTCTAAGTGACTATATGTCAGACACTTGGAACAGCGTCTGGTGGCTTAAACATTCAACATAAGTGACTGGTATGGCTGCTTCACATGAACACCCAAGGAACCCCTTCCTTGGGGCGGAGGCAGGCAGAGAGTGGGTTAGAGTCCTGAGATCAAGCCCTTTCCAGCTGAGCACCTCTGGGTAGTGAACTACGGCCCAACCACACAGGTGGCCTGGATACAAGTTCTCCTTTTCACTCTCAGGGTAGGACTGATTCTGAGGAGGGTGGAAACTGAACATACAATAATCAGATTAAGAGATTATTATTGGTTAATTGTTGGTTAATTTATTACTTATTAGTTAATTACTATTAGTTACTCCTCCATCTTTAGATACAGGAACCCTAGTATGGAAAAGGGCAATGGAAAACTTCCCAATCTTGGCAGAAACAGGCTTCTGGGATCTGTGATTCACTTTGTTCTGACTCTATCTGCCCAAAAACTTTTGCTCAGTAAGAAGTGTTCTGCAGGGAGCGCTTTCCATCACCCCTGGGGAAAGGGGGATAATTGGTAAATCAATCTTGTAATTAATACTGACTCAGCTTTGTAGCTCAAGCACTTGAAACAGTGCTTGGAACAGAAACTGCTCAGGAGACACTCAGCAGTCAGTGTCAGGGTCTTAATGAATGAAGATTTCTTTGAGTTATTAAAAGAAAATTTTTTTTTTAGAGAGGGAGGAAGAGAGGGGGGTGGAAGGGCAGAAGGAGGGGAAGGGAATCTTAAGCAGACTCCATACCCACCTTGGAGCCTGACATGGGGCTCTGCCTCACAACCCTGAGATCACAACCTGAGCCAAAATCAAGAGTTGGACACTTAACCAACTGAGCCAGCAGGCACCTCTGAGTTGTAAAATTTTGAGGCTGATCCCAGGTGGGAGGATTTGGAGAGCAGGTGTTTTATTTCCAAGATTTTCCTCCAAGTCTTTCACAATATTTGCAAGACCAAGGTCATCTTTGGAAGGAAAAGAGCCTCTGGATTTTTCTCCTAAGATTTTATTTCTTTATTTTAGAGAATGATGGTGAGCACAGGTAGGAGGAGGCACAGAGGGAGAAAGAGAGAGGGAATCCCAAGCAGACTCCACATCAAGCCCAAAGTGGGGCTCAATCCCAGGACCCCGAGATCATAACTTGAGCCCAAATCAAGAACTGGACACTTAAGCAACTTAGGCACCCAGGTGACCCCCCCGTTTTTTTTTTAAGATTTTATTTGAGAGAGAGACAGAGTCTGTGCGCACGCAGGTGCGTTTGCACATACACATGCATGAGTGGGGGGGTACAGGGGAAGCGGGAGAGAGAGAAGAGCATCTGGATTTTTAAAACTACCATCTCAGGGCACCTGGGTGGGTCAGTTGGTTAAGCGACTGCCTTTGGCTCAGGTCATGATCCTGGAGTCCCAGGAGTGAGTCCCACATCAGGCTCCCTGCTTGGCAGGGTGTCTGCTTCTTCCTCTGACCCTTCCTCTTCTCATGCTCTCTCTCTTTCTCTCCTTCTCTCTCTCAAATAAATACATAAAATCTTTTAAAAATTAAAATAATGAAATAAAACTACCATCTCAGAAAGGTGATTTCTGCTTTTCGAAGTCAGTGCCTACATGGATCCATTATGAAATCCACACAATGTGTCCATCAAAATATTCAGAGCAACTAGCTCACTGCCTCCATAATTAGCAATAGGCAGGTTAATTTATAAATTCTTCATTAAGTAAATGAGTTTATCAATTCACTGAACACTTATAGAAAACTCACTAGAAGAGATACAATTGGGGCGCCTGGGCGGCTCAGTAGGTTAAGCACCTGTCTTTGGCTCAGGTCATGATCTCAGGAGTCCTGGAACTGAGGCCCACATCAGGCTCCTTGCTCAGTGAGGAGTCTGTCCTTCTCTCTCTGCCCCTCATCCTGTTCATGCTCTCTCGTGCTCTCTCTCTCAAATAAATAAAAAAAAAAAAAAAAGAAGAAAGAGAGAGAGAGATACAACTTGCTCACAGTTTGGTGATTATATGTTGCTACTTGACAGAGTAGGGTATGGGGTCCTCTGGGTCCCCTGAGGCCCATGGAGCAGGTTCTACACAAACATGGCTTTTGCTGAGCTGTGGGGGATGACTGAGTTCTACTAGCCCAAGAGAAGTAGAATCACCAGAAAACCTCAAAAGAACAAATGCTATGGTGGGAATAAATACAAATCAGAGGCAGCAACAGATAAGCAGGTGGGTGGGATTCAACCTCCCCTGATGTGAGTCCCAGTTTTATCTGCGGGGCAGCAGGAAAGCCTTGAGGAAGGGAGGGTAAAAGATCCCTTTGTCTTGTAATCAGATTATTCTCTCAGGAGAGAGAGTGGAAGGGGAAGTGGCTGGGATCAGAGAGGACTGTTTGGAGGATGAAGTCAAGAATCATTTACTTCTTGGAGAGAGGGGAAGATGGTGGCAAAAGCAGGAGGACCCTAAGCTCACCTCCTGCCATGAATACAACCGGATAATCTGGAAATCATCCTAGATACCCCAGAAATCAACCTGAACACTGACATAATAAACTCACAAGTAAAGGTAGAAGCCAAGAAGTGTGGAACCTTGGTTTGGGAGAGAAACAGATCGTGGCCTCAGTGGGAAAGAGGGAGCCATGGTTGTGGAGAAGTGTGAGAGACAGATAACACACAGGGAGCATGAGATGAGAAAATGAATCCCCCATAGCCACGGGCTCAGAAAGCAAGAGGGGCCGCATTTCAGGAGTTCTTGCAACCAGCAGGGCTGAAAGCCTGTATGTAGTCTGAAAGGTAAGTGGGCCTGGCTCAGGCAGAGCCTGGAGACATCCTTCTTGGAAAGAAGGCAGGACAAAACACCTGTGGACATACAGCGTGGAGGCAGCGATGCGAAGTGCAGAAGTGCGCTTGGGCACATAGTGGGGAGGTTGTCTGCTCATCCTGGCAGTGTGTTCCGGAGTGGCTGCGTTCCTGGAGAGACCCTACTGGAACAAAGAACTGGCAGGAGCCACTGGCCCTCCCTCACCCGTCAGCATAAACACAGAGCCACTTGCAGGAACCAGCACAGCACTGACGCTCCCTCTGTAACTTCCTTACACCAAGCAGAGCACACGCCACACTCGTAGGAGCCACTCCCCGAAGCACCAGGCACTGGGGAACAGAGGACACTACATGGCAGGACATTAGAGGACCTCTTCTTCACAAGGCCATTACCCTCCAGTAAGGGAGATGTCACTGACTTTCTGAACACAGAGAAGCAGGCACAGACTTAGACAAAATGAGAAGACAGAGGAATCTGTCCCAAATGAAAGAACAGGACAAGGCCACGGTCAGAGATCTTAGTGAAACAGATCTAACTAACACGCCTGATAAAGAATTTAAAGTAATGGCCACAGAGATACTCAGTGGACCTGAGAAAAGAGTGGAGGACACTGGTGGGCCATTAACACAGAGCTAAAAGAATAACAGAGATAAAGGGCTGAATAAATGAAATGAGAAACACACTCAAAGGAATGAACAGCAGGCTGGAAGAGGCAGGGGAACTGATTAATGACTTGGAAGACAGAGTAATGGAAAGTAATTAAGCTGAACAAAAGACAGAATAAAGAATTCTGCAAAACAAGAATAGACTTAGGGAACTCAGCGACTCCATCAAACATAGTAACATTCAGATTATAGAGATCCCAGAAGAAGAAGAGAAAAGGGGGCAGAAAAGTTATTTGAAGAAATAATGCTGAAAACTTCCCTAATCTGGGAAGGAAACAGATATCCAGATCTAGGAAGCACAGAGAACCCCCAACAAAATAAAAAAAAAGCAGATCCATACCAAGACATATTGTAATTAAAATGGCAAAAATGTAGAGAAACAGAAATTTTGAAAGCATCAAGAAAAAAGAAGATAGTTTCTGCGAGCACTCAGTAGGAAAGGAACTCAACAAAGACTTGCAGAATGACTGCTGTAATGAACAGCTGACAGATATGTTGTGTAGATCAAGGCCTTATTATTTATCTCCTACTCTATGCTAGCCAAGGATCCGAGACATGAAAGACACAGCAGTGAACAAAGCAGGCAAGGACCGTGATCTCATGCAGCTGATATTATAATGTGGTCAAGGATATTAGCAAACTGATAATACAGTGAGAGGTATTTTTGAGAAAAATAAGGCAGGGTCGGGGCACTTGGGTGGCTCAGTTAAGCATCCAACTCTTGATTTCAGCTCACGATCTCAGGGTCACGAGATCAAGCCCCATGTTGGGCTTGGTACTGGGCGGAGAGCTTGCCTGGTATTTTCTCTCTCCCTTTCCCTCCACTCCTGCACACGTGCTCTCTCAAAAAAAAAAGGCATGGTAAAAAGAGGGGAAGAGATAGCAGGAAGGGCTGTTGCAGAATAATTTTCTGTCATGGATGCTTCTCCCACATTTGACCATGAAACCTGAACCAAGCAAGGGAGAGTGCATCATGCAGATATCTGGTACTGGAAGGATGTGGAATTCAGCCAGAGAGAAAACAGAAAATATTTTTTGTTAAGAAGCATGAGTCTGTTCTCTCTACCAGTGCTTCACAAATTTTAATGTTCCATGAATCAAATGGAGACCCTGGGAAGGTACAGAAACCTCGGTCTCACCCCTAGAAATTCTAAATCAGAAGATCAAGGATGGAGCCTAAGAATCTACATTTTTAACAATATTCCAGAGGATGCTGATGCTGTTGGTTTCTGGGTCACTATGAGAGTAGCAACAGTCAAAACAACCCTCCAGATATCCTCAGACAGACTAAAGACTTGAGGTTTTCCCCTTCAACTCTTCTTCTAGCCACAACAGAGCAAAAAAGTTAAGAGAAAGTAAATACACTGCAATCTTCTCTTTCTCTCTGGTTCTAAAAATGGGATTAGAATCAAGGTTTGTTAGGATCAGAAAGAATACCAAGGGCACTCTAAGCACCTAATTTTACCCACAAGGAAACTCAACCCATTCATAAAATACTCTCAATATTTGCTGACATTTAATAGCAACTGACTTAGTACTTACCATGGCACCATTTCCACGAATGTAGTACATGTGCTATCTTATTTGATCTTCACAAGTCTAGAGATTGAGACAAAAATCATCCCCATTTTACAGGTAAAGAAGATGGAGCGCAGAGAAATAGCTCCAATCATGATCAACCAGTGACCAATAGAAAAGTCAAGATTTTCACCCAGAGCCTTACCTACTAGGACTGTGGTTCTCAATTTGGACAGCACATTAGACTCACAAAGGAACTTTAAAAAAAAAAAAAAAAAGGGTTCAGGCCTTACTACAACTAATCAAATCAAGTCTGTGGAGGTGGGCGGCTGAGGTGTGCACTCCTACACGCCTCCTACTGCCCCAGGCCACAATCTCATTGTCCGGTTAGGACACTGCACCAGGCACTAATGAACCTAGGCAATATGGTGCCCAAGCCCTTGTCTTATAAGCACTGGTTGTCAACTCTTGTTCTGTACATGACATTGTAAGGCCCGAGATTCCATGTGCTGCCTATACAACTTTGAGCCTTACAGGGCCCAAAGGCCTAGCCATGAGTTACTCTGGTCTCTCCAGATACGGCCCTGGCCCCTGACCCTGGGGGGAAAGGCTCCCCACCCAGCTACTTCCTCTATATATGAACCAGGGTCTAGATTCAATACTATTTGACATCTTTTATTCCAACCTCACCATGAGCCTGCTAAATCACAAAGCCAGTCTGTCAAAAACCCAGCTTCCAGAGAGCACGCAAGAACCCTCATTCTCCTGACCACTGACCCCAACCTGCCTCTTTTCACTAGTACCCAATACAGATGTCTCCACCTGGTTATTTGCTGCCACTCTAGTCATAAAGACAAACCCCCCTTCCTCTCTCTGCTTTCCGACCCTGCATGTGACAGGCTTCATATGGTCCTATGTAGCAGGCTATGCCTCTTGGTTCTGGGGGAACCATAGTGTTAAAAACCTTCTTTCTCAATGGAGTGAACCTCTCCATGTTGCCACACAATAGCCTGTATAACTTTAAGACCTGAAAAAATTCACCCTACCAACTGGACCAGATGCACCCCACTCAGTCCTCAACCTAACAGCCTTTACCTCCCTGCCAGCCTGTCAAATTATTCAGAGAAGCTAATCACATCTTCCTTCGGGAGCCAAGGGTCACTTTACATTCCTGTCACTACAAAAACCCCCTACTACAGCCCTGCTGGTTTATTCTATTCTTGGGCGCAAGCCCCACACGGCCCTACGTGGCATGTAGTGTCCTCCTCCCAAGAGCTGTGTGTAAGCTGCTGCCAGTGACACCTGCCCAGTGTCGGGTGTTATGCCTTCAGCCATCTCATACTAATTAGAACAAGGATTCGCCTTCCTATACAGGGTGAATAGGAGGTGATCAGAACAGCCTCAAAATCACCCAGAAAGCTAATAAACACAAAAACCCAGGCCCATTGATACAGTAAAACTCCTAGGTCTTTATAGTTGCTCTATTTTTTACCAAGTTCCCTAAAATGATTTTGATATGACCATAGTTTGAGAACCACGATGTTAGTCTATCCTGCCTCTCCAGGAGTTACCTGAGCTGCTGAAGGACACCCAGAAAATCAAGGGCAGGGTTAGACCTGGCACTCAGGCCTCCTAAGTCCAAACTCTCTGCTTCTCTCCATTGTACGATGCCCTTGGAAGCCTAAGGAGCAAGAGTGACTCATGAATGCCCCTGAAGGCAAATCCCGGAGTGAAAACGGATCTTCCAGTAAGACCAGTGCGATCTGACAAATACAGTGCAAGTTCCATAGTATAATTTAAACGTTTCTAGTAGTCACATTAAAAAAAGTTAGAAGAAGCAACTGGGCTCAATCTTAATAATATATTTTATTTAACCCAATATATCCAAAATATATTCAACCTACGATCAACATAAAAATTCAATTCAATCTGCAATCAACATAAAAATTATGGAGACATTACACTCTTTTTTTTCATACTAGTCTTTGAAATCCATTGTGCGTCTTATACTTACAGAACATCCCAATTAGCACTACCCATATTTCAGGTGCTCAATTATCACATGTACCTGATGGCTACCATATTGGATAGTGATGACTTGAACCTTTTTAAAGCAACCGAGACCAAATAACCATCCCCCAGGGACTTTCTGGGTTCAAGACAGCAAATTAGTGTTAGTTATAAGTTTAACCAATGGCTATTACAGAAACTATTCATTTTTGTTCAACTGAATGACAGAACTGAAGTAGGGAAAACGGTAGGCAGGTGAAAAAAAGAATACCTTAAAACCCCCTTTTGCCCTTTTGATAACTTGCTGCATTTTTCATGTCACATAGCCACCTATAATAGAAAAAAGACAACGTTAGTCTGTAATATGTCAAGGATTTACAACATCCCTGGAACTATGTCAAGCACTTTACATAACATATCTCTTTTAATATTCACAAAAACTTTAGGAGGTAGGTACTGAGAGTCCTATTTGGACAGGTAAGAAAACAGAGGCACAGAGAAGTTAAATACTTTGCCCAAGGTTATCCAGTCAGAGTGCCAGAGCTAGGTTTTAAACCGAGCTGCTCAAGTTTGATCCTGTTCTGCCCGCTACTGACTGCCCCCTCTCCTGCTCCCCCTGCTTGTTTTCTCGCTCTTTCTGTCAAATAAATTAAATTTTTAAAAAGATTTTATTTATGTATTTAACAGAGAGAGACACAACAAGAAAGGGAACACAAGCAGGAAGAGTGGGAGAGGAAGAAGCAGGCTTCCCGCTAAGCAAGGAGCCCAATGCAGGGGCTCGATCCCAGGACCCTGGGATCATGACCTGAGCAGAAGACAGATGCTTAACGACTGAGCCACTCAGGTGCTCCAATAAATAAAATCTTAAAAAAAAAAAAAGAAAGAAAGAAAGAAACATTAGCATCGACTTGTTTCTAAGGAAATTTGTTTTAGACCATGACATATTGAGCATAATGGTACATCAGCTTCTGAATACTCTTGAGAAAGTTGGTGGTATTCCGCGGCCCACCACAAGTGAGATCAAAGAAAAGGAATGTGAATATAGATTATCTTCCTATTTTCTTTCCTAATCCCAGGCTGGGGGTCCCCCTTCAATGGCTACTCACCGAATAACTCTTCTCTGCTAACTTCTAGGTTGCTGCTGGGCACTCTGGAAAGAATATGACAAGGTCCTGGAAAACAGCAGTCCCTGAACCCAACAAGAGAGAAAAGAAATCAAAGTTATATGCCAGTGGCAAGAGCAACCTCAAAGGAGCAAAGACAACCCCTCATCTTCCCTAACTGCAATTCTTTCTAACCTTCTCCTACGAGTAACATTCTCCTCATTGCCAAGAGTGAAAACGTTAGAGTTGCTGTTTTTATCTGTGATGGACTGAATATAACCCCCTAAAACTCTTATGTTGAAGTTCTAAATCCCAGTTCCTCAGAATGTGATGATATTCTGGGTTCAAAAGTCAGCAAATTAGCAGAATATATTATATTTGGAGATAGGCCATTTAAAGAGGCGATTAGCTTAAAATGAGTTCTTTAGGGTAGTCCCTAAACCAATCTAACTTATGTCCTAGTAAGAGGAAATCTAGACACACAAAGGGACAAGAGAAGCAGGCACACAGAGGAAAGGCCATGTGAGGACACAGCGAGAAGGCAGCCAAGGGGAGAGGCCTTAGAAGAAACCAAACCTGCCAACACCCTGATCTTTGACCTCTAGCTCCAGATGTGACAAAATAAATTTCTGTTGTTTAAGCCACCCAGTCTACGGTATTTCTTTACACCAATCCTGATGTATTAATAAAATCTCCCTTCCACTGGTCTTCATATATAAATAATTTGAGATAGCTTTTCAGTCCCACCAACTCAACATCTGGGTTTGCTTTAAAATAGTCAAGGAGAGGGGCGCCTGGGTGGCTCAGTGGGTTAAAGCCTCTGCCTTCAGCTCAGGTCATGATCCCAGGGTCCTGGGATCAAGCCCCACATCGGGCTCTCTGCTCAGCAGGGAGCCTGCTTCCTCCTCTCTCTCTGTCTGCCTCTCTGCCTACCTGTGATCTCTGTCAAATAAATAAATAAAATCTTAAAAAAATAAAATAAAATACTCAAGGAGAAAGGCGCCTGGGTGGCTCAGTCAGTTAAATGTAGCCAGTGTCTGCTGGAGATTTTCTCTCCCTCTGTTCCTCCCCCTGTGTGCTCTCTCTCTCTCTAAAATAAATGAATAGACTCTTTTAAAATACTCAAGGAGAGCTATGAAATGTGTAAGCCTGATGATTCACAGACCTATACCCCGGGGGCAAATAATACATTATATGTTAATAAAAAATTATTAAAAAATAAAATAATCAAGGGGAAAAAAAATATGTGTGTGTGGAGAGCAGAGAAGCAAAAAAAAAAACAACAACAAAAAACAAAACAGAAAACTAGCAAGGATTGACTCAGGGTGATTGTTACATAGGAGTTCATTATATTATACTTTGGGTATGCTTGGAAACTTCCACAGTAGAGTTAAGGAACTAACTGTAAATACTGGGGTAACAATATAATAAAATAAACACACATTTAAAAACTGCTAAACAGAATGCACTAAAATGTTTTAAAAAATGTCTATGTTCTAGTATTAGGAGTTATTCTTATTGCTTTTCTGTATATATTTTTATATTTTCTAACTTCTCTATGATGAGTGTGCATATCTTCCATAATGAGAACATGAACTATAAATATTGTCTGAAATAAAAGTAAATGAGAATGCTTCTAAAATTTTATAAAAAGTCCAGACTCATGAATCCTGCTTTCAAAATACTTTACATTAAAATTCCAACCTACCTCCATAACTTGATCCCAAATGACTTGACTCCTCTGCAGCCAGTTTCCTATGGTTAAATATTTATATAACTTACTTTTCTGTTTTGTTTCCTAATTCCAATTTGAGGACTTCAAACTTTGGGACCAAGGATATCCATAAGGCACACACACCCTGGATTCAAATCCACTTCACCCACTAGCGGTGCGACACAGGATAAGTAACTTAGGCTCCTCTGACTCCATTCCCTCATCTGTACAATAGAGGCAGTAACAGTATTCACTGGAGAGGGCTTTGTGAAGACTGCGTTAATTTTTATAAAACCCTCGGGATGACGCTTAGCATTCCAGGTGTAACCATGAAGACTATCACTCATGTCCTGTGCATGTTCTCCATATTTTCTCAATTATTTAACAGTTGCTCATGAATGAAATACCTTCTATCACCGCAGAAGAGGAAGACGAAAGCTAAGTACGGTCGCAGCGGGGCTCTGCTGCCAAGGAGTCCTCTTTCAGAAGTCAGGAGGCGGAAAAGAAAGGAGCCTGAGGTGCTACAGTCTGGTCTGTGGCCCTGCAAAAACCGCAGAAGGTATTTGTGGGTGACGCTCTCTTTCTAAAACACGAGTCAGAAATAGTCCGGGCAGAGCCTCCTGTCCCGCATGGATAAGAAGAGCCAGTGCCACCTGGAAGAGTTTCCAGAGAGGTAACTTTTCTGACTACTATTGTATTGTTTATATTCACAACTAACACCTTGCCACACGTCCGAACTGCTCCAAACATTTCACTTATACTCTATACCATGAATGTACAGGACAAATGTGTAAGGTAGGTAATATCCCCGTCTCCAGGAAAGGAAACTGAGACACGGAAAGATCAAGTTCTAGGAAGTGACAAAGCCGTGTGGAAGGGGAGGGGAAGGCGAGCTGGGCGGCGGGGAGCCGGGAGACCCTCGAAGCCTGCGGAGCCGGGTCCGCCTCCAAGCCTAAGACCCGCGAAGCGCTCCAAACGTAGAGGCTCCGGCTAGGGGAAGGCAGGCAGCCGCCCCCGCCCGTCAACCTCGATCTCTGCCACTGGCCGCGGCTTTTCCTCCTTGTGACCCAGGGCCCGGAGCCGCTGATCTCACGGCCAGGTCAAAAACTTAGAAAAGGTCGCGGGGTCCCAGGGATCACTCACCTCCCAGAGAGAAATAAAGGCCGCGATGTTAACCTCCCGCAGCGGAAATACCTCCGACTCTGCGGAGCTCCTGGACTACATTCCCCAGCATTCCCGAGAGGAACCGGGGCCGCTATTCCGCCCCCGCGTGAGGCGGAAAAGCCGGTTCCCACACCTACAGCCGGAATCCAATCCGGAGTCCACGAAAGGAGAGGGCTTCGCATTCTTACCCTCTGGTAGCCAAATGCTTCCGAACACGCAGAGCACTATATTACGCTCTCCCATTTCTCCAGCGGAGCAAATAGTTTTGCGCTTTCCTGGAGCGGAAGTGCTCCAATCCCAGAAAGCGTCTGGACTACAAATCCCAGAATCCTCTGTAGGACTGAGCTTCCCGCCTACCTTAAATTTCTCTTTTGAATGATCAGGTGGTCTAAATAACCCTCCGGTGTTGTGGAACTGGGTTTGCCTTTCTTTCTCACTGCTCCCTTTCACACCTGATGTAGTTGGAAATAGGAAAAACAAAAGGAAAATTATTAGAAAGGCTGCTATGTGCTGGGTAAAAGTAGAGATCATAAAAGGGGCGAGCTGTGCTGTGCTGAACAAGCCTTCTTTATTACCTGAGCCTGGATTCACCTGTGACCAAGAATCCATTTAAAAGGAGACGCAACCAGAGCCTCCTGGGCGGCTCAGTCGGTTGAGCACCTGATTCTTGCTTAGGACTCAGGTTATGGTCTCAGGGTCTTGGGATCAGGCCGTGAGCTCAGTGTGGCGCCTGCTTGAGATTCTCTTCCTCTCCCTCTCCCCCTACACCCACTCACGCACTCTAATAATATTTTTAAAATATTTTTTTAGAAGAGATGCAACTATCCCGCAGGATATAAAACAGAAAGAGAAAAGTTCTCTGCTTTTCCTTCACTTCAGGAATTTTTGTTGTTGCACTGGCAGGAAATTGGTTTTGGATTGGATTTCCCTGATAATTAGCAATATTGTGCATCTTTTTATGTACCTGTTGGCCATTTGGATGTCTTCTTCGGAAAAATGTCTGTTTGTTCCTCTGCCCATTTTTAAAAATTGAATTCGTTGGGGTTTTGTTGCTGTTGTTGTTACTGAGGTGTAGGCATTCTTTTTTTTTTTTTTTTTAAAGATTTTATTTATTTATTTGACAGACAGAGATCACAAGTAGGCAGAGAGGCAGGCAGAGAGAGGAGGAAGCAGGCTCCCCTCGGAGCAGAGAACCCGATGCGGTGCTGGATCCCAGGACCCTGAGATCATGACCTGAGCCAAAGGCAGAGGCTTTAACCCACTGAGCCACCCAGGCGCCCCCATAGGCATTCTTTTTTTTTTTTTTTTTTGTTAAAGATTTTTATTTATTTGACAGACAGATCACAAGTAGGCAGAGAGGCAGGCAGAGAGAGAGAGGAGGAGGAGGCAGGCTCCCCGCTGAGCAGAGAGCCCGATGTGAGGCTCGATCCCAGGACCCTGGGATCATGACCTGAGCCGAAGGCAGAGGCTTTAACCACTGAGCCACCCAGGCGCCCCCATAGGCATTCTTTATATGAGTCCTGACTCTATCTGATACATGGTTTCCAAATATTTTCTCCCATCCATAAGTTGTCTATTCATTAAAAAATATTTCTTTTGCTGTGCAGAGGTTTTTTAAAAATTATTTTCCACATTTTTTATTTAAATTCCAGGTAACTCACTATATTAGTTTCAAGTATAGAATTTAATGATTCATCACTTACATACAACACCTGGTGCTCATCACAATTGCCCTCCTTAATACCCACCACCTATTTAACCCATCTCTCCTGCCCACCCCCCCCCCTTTAGTAACCATCAGTTTGCTCTATATAGTTAAGAGTTTGTTTCTTGGGGCACCTGGATAGCTCAGTGGGTTAAAGCCTCTGCCTTCGGCTCTGGTCATGATCCCAGGGTCCTGGGATTGCGCCCTGAGTTGGGCTCTCTGCTCTGCAGGGAGCCTGCTTCCTCCCTTCTCTCTCTCTCTCCCTCTCTCTCTCTCTCTCTGCCTGCCTCATCTACTTGTGATCTCTGTCAAATAAATAAAGTAAAAAAAAAAAAAAAGAGTCTGTTTCTTGGTTTGGCTCTCCCCTCACCATATTCATTTGTTTTCTTTCTTAAATTCCACACATGAGTGAAATCATATGGTATTTGTCTTTATCTGATGTATAGGCTTTCTAGCTTGATGTAATCCCACTTGATTTTTGCTTTTGTTTCCTATGCTTTTGGCATAATATCCCCCAAATACTGCCCATGTCAAGGAATTTTTTTTTTAAGATTTTATTTATTTATTTGACAGAGAGAGATCACAAGTAGACAGAGAGGCAGGCAGAGAGAGAGGGAGGGAAGCAGGCTCCCTGCTGAGCAGAGAGCCTGATGCGGGACTCGATCCCAGGACGGTGAGATCATGACCTGAGCCGAAGGCAGCAGCTTAACCCACTGAGCCACTCAGGCGCCCCATGTCAAGGAATTTCTTCCCTGTGTTTTCCCCTAGGAGTTTCATGGTATCAGGTTTCATGCTTGTTCTTAATCCATTTTAAGTTAATTTTTGTGAGTAGTGCATAACAGAGGTCCAATTTCATTTTTCTGCATGTGGTTATCCAGTTTTCCCATCATTTTTTGAAGAGACTATCTTCTCCCAATTGAGTGCTCTTCACTCCTTTGTTGAATATTATTTTACTATATATGCAGGGGTTATTTCTGGGCTCTCAGTTTTATTCCATTGTATCTAGTTTTATGTCAGGGTCATGCTGTCTTAATTACTACAGCTTTGTAGAATAGTTTGAAATCAGGAAGTGTGATGCCTCCAGCTTTGTTCTTCTTTCTTTTAATTGCTCTGGCTATTAGGCATATTTTGTGCTTCAACACAAAATTTTAGGATTATTTATTTCTATTTCTGTGAAACATGCCACTGGAATTTTGACTGGGCTTGCAATGAATCTATAGATGGCTTTGGGTAGTTGGAACATTTTAACAATATTACTTCTACTTCTTAAAGATTTTTATTTATTTATTTGACAGAGATCACAAGTAGGTAGAGAGGCAGGCAGAGAGAGAGGAGGAAGCAGGCACCCCGCCAAGCAGAGAGCTCGATCCCAGGACCCCGGGACCATGACCTGAGCCGAAGGCAGAGGCTTTAACCCACTGAGCCACCCAGGTGCCCCTACTTCTACTTGTTATATACAAGATATCTTTTCATCTATTTCTGTCTACAATTTCTCTCATCAAAGTAACAATTTTCGGTATACAAGTCTTTTACCTCCTTGTTTAAATTTATTCCTATGGATTTTTATTTTTGATACTATTGTGAATGGAACCACTTTCTTTCTCAAATATCCCATTTTTAGTGTATAGAAACCCAACTGATTTCTATATGATGGTTCTTTACGATACAACCTTATTGAATTCACTGATTAGTTCTAACCATTTTTTTTGGTGAGGTCTTCAGTATTTCCTATATGTAAGATCATATTATTTGCAAACATAGACAAATTAACTTCTTCCTCTCTAATTCGGCGTCTTTTATTTCATCTTGATTGAATGTCCCAGCATTATGCTGAATAGGAATGGTGAGAATGGGTACATTGTTTTATTTCTAATCTTAGAGGATAAGCTTTCAACCTTTCATTAAGTATGGTAGCTGTGGGTTTGGTGTATATGGCCTCTATTAGGTTGAGTTATATTCCATCTGTATGTGATTTGTTGAGAGCTTTTATCATGAAAGGATGTCATATTTTTTCTAATGTTTTTTGATCCTTTTATCAATGACCATGTGATTTTTACCTTTCATTCAATTAAAGTGGTATATCACATTTATTGATTGGCACATGTTGAACCATCCATGCATCCCAGGGATAAATCCCACTAAGTCATGGTGTATGATCTTTATGAAGTGCTATTGAATTTGGTTTGTTGATATTTTATTGATAATTTTTGCATCCATATTCATCAATAGCATTTGTGTGTAGTTTTCTGTGATTGTATTGTCCCTTTCTGGCTTTGGTATCAGGGTAGTGCTGGTCTTCCCTATAAAATGAGTTTGGAAGTGATCCTCTCTCTTCAATTTTTGGAAGCTTGGTAAGGATTAGTGTTACTTCTTCATTAAATATTTGGTAGACTTCACTAGTGAAACCATCTGGTCCTGAGCTGTGTTGGATTTGGGGTGGAAGGTTCCTTTCTCCCCCCCCCCCCCTTACTTGTTATTGGCTTGTTAAGATTTTCTATTTCTTTCTGATTCAGTCTTGGTAGCTTTTATGTTTCTAGAAATTTATCCTTTTCTTCTTGGGTTACCTAATTTGTTTGCATAGGATAGGTCATACTAGTTACTTATGAGTCTAAGAATTTCTGTGGTATCAGTTGTAACATCTCCTCTTTCCTATTTGACTTTATATCAGTATTTTTTTCTAAATCTTAAGATTTGTCAATTTTATCTTTCAAAAAAAGTCTCTTAGTTTCACTGATATTTTCTATTGTTTTTCTGGCCTCTATTTCACTTATTTATGCTCTTTGTTTTCTCCTCCTTTTTTCAACTTTGCACTGTTTGTTCTTTTTCTAGTTCCTTCAGATGTGAAGTTAGGTTGTGTGAGATCTTTTTACTTTCTTAATCTAGAGGTTCGTTGGTATAAGCTTCCCTTTTTAAACTGCTTTTGTAGCATCCCATAGGTTTTGGTAGGTGTGTTTCTATTTTCAATTGTTTCAAGATATATTTTGATTTCCCTTTAGATTTCTTCTTTGATCCATTGGTTGTTCAAGAGTATGTAGTTTAATTTAAACGTATTTGTAGATCTTCCAGCTTTCCACCTCTTACTGATTTCTAGTTTCATATTATTGTGGTCAGAAGAGATACTTGATATGATTTCACTTTTATTAAACTTACTAAGACTTATTTTGTGGTCTATCATATGAACTACTTTGGAGAATGTTCTGTGTGTGCCTGAGAAGAATGTGTATTCTGCTACAATTGGATGGAATGTTCTATTTATACTTGCTAAGTCCATATGGTCTAAAATATGATTCAAATCCAGCATTTTCTTGTTGATATTCTGTCATGATCATCTATCCATTGTTGAAAGTGGAGTACTGACATCCCCTACAATTATTGCATTGTTACCTATTTCTCTCTCCAGATCTGTATTTGCCTAATGTAGTTAGGTGCTCCAATGTTTGGTGTGTATATATTTATGATTGTGATATCTTTTTTTTTAAGATTTTATTGCATGGAGCACTGGATGTGGTGCATAA